ACCAATTAAAAAGAAGAACTAAATTAAATAAAAATTGGTTGAAATTTATTTTTCTCATTAGACTTTAAAAGATATCACCAAGAAATTAATAAAAAACAAAAGGAAAAAAGGGAAATACCATATGTATTTTTTTTTTACGAATTGAAATATAGAAATGTTTGTTTATTGTTTCTATAACGTTTTAACAACGTTTTCCAAACATTTTAAGGCAATGTTATATCTATGTTTTCTGGTATCATTTGTAATTAAAATTTATAATAAATTTCATTCAATTTAAAAATAAATATTCTTAAAATTTGAGTCAACCTACACAGCGCTCTGTATATATTCGTAAAAATATCATAGTATGAATTTTTAGAATATTTTTTTCCCAATCAATCATGTCAGTGGAATGTGAAAACATTTGTATAATGCTTTTTCAGCAATAAAAAATGATTCTTATTACCATTATAAAAATGTTATGCAAAAATGTTTTCTAAAAACTTCCTCCCAACCAGTTTTAAACGTTATGAAAAACATTTTAAAAATGTTTTTGAGAAACGTTTTCTAAAAACGTCATTATAACCTAAATAAAACGTTATAAAAACATTTTTCAAACGTTATGTCAAAAACGTTTTGGGATAACATCCTTACAACCGGAATATAATGTTATGAAAACGTTTTGTGCTACCTGGGTTGCGTGTGTCGCTCTAGAGTCGCGAAGTAAGAGTTGATCTGAATTGGTTCAGTGGATTCGAAGCCCACTGTGGGCGTAGATACTGATCCTTTAAATGAGATTTTATAAACCAAGGTCACTTGTCGCAGGAGTTACTGACACGAAAAGATCCCTCCGTGCTCAATGGCCCTGAGTGACGAGTATAAACATTGTTGGCTCATATTATGAAAGAAATCCCTTTGGAATACATTTAATTTATTAAAGTTCAAAATATTTAAACGATCTTTTTATACCTTTTATATTATTTCATTTCAAAGACCTTTTTAAGACTCATATACTTATGCAAGTAGGATATCGATTGTTTAAAAGAAAGGACAAAGCTGTTAAAAACATCAAAATTACAAACAATAAAAAGTACATACTACAACTGTTTGCATTATTAATGTACACAAAAGTGCTTTATGTTTGTTTTTTTGTTTTTTTTTTCATTGACAGCGATGCTTACACAACCTTGATTAATTTAATAACCTATAGTTGATCATGAATGTATTTGAAGATTGGTGTAATTTTCTTTAACCTTTTTTGATGTTTTCTCAATATTTAAGACTTAATATAGTACTCAAAGTTAAAGAAAATATAACAATCTACATTTTAAAACATACATTTTCTATATGGACATGCATTTATTGGATAATAAATATATAATTATTGTTTGTATAATAATTTTTTGTTATTTACAGAGGTTCATTCTATTTATTTTATTTTTTTATGTATATTTTCATATTTTTTGGACATTTATTGAAACTGAGCTGATCAATTTGTATACTATAGGTGTACCCCCTTCATATTCCTTTTTGTTATGCGATAACATATTACACATAGCGCAAACATTTAGAATCAATAATATTTACTGTATCATGTTGAAGAGATATTATCTTTATTGTTATATAGCTGAAGTTTACCTTATCTTTTTAAGATGCAATATGAATTTTAGATTATGAATTTTGTCATTTTGTTGATATCTTTGTTAAATTGTTCTCCTGTTGATAGTTGGAAAACCTTTGAATGTTTTTCTTACTACATTTAGATCAAGTTTACATTAACTATTTCCTAAAAAATTAAAAAGCACGATATTGAAAAGAATATAGTTATGGAACGGATGAAATGGAATAGATAAAATATGTGGTTCACCCGAAGGAAAAAATATTTTCCGACGTAGCAAAGCCAACGAAGAATACAGTTTATTTACGAGGTACATGTAAATAATAAATCAGCTTTTTACCAAGAATTCGCTCCAAAATTGTTTCATTGTACCGAAAGAGTTTAAGGAGATTCTAATTTCTTACACCAGATGACCAAACAATTTAAAAGAAGTAGAGACATTTAAATAAACACATATGCATAAAAATGAAATTATTTTAATTCGATTTATCTACACATGTAATGCAATAATAACGAGGAAAAACTGAAATAATTTTTAACTAAAAATTAAAAAAAATAATAATAATGACTTTCATTTGTATGATTCTGAAATGTCAATTTCTGGTCGTTTAAGTCACACAGCTTATCGCTGACTCGATATTCCTCGAATGGAGATTTTAATCCAATAGCTGGGAAGTTGATAATTTGATTCGAACAGAGGTGTGGATCACAATAGATATATTGGATTAAGGTAATAAGACCCATATAAATATACAGGATGTATGAAATTTAATCTAACAGATCTGTATTTCAAAACGTGACGAATTTGCAACACCATCATGTTTTTACGACAGAAAATAACTTTTAAATCATACAGGTTCTCATAAACAGAAATTAAATATTACATGGAATGGTATCTTTCTTATTGTTCTTTAACCAGGTGAAGTGTAACAAAATTGAACGTGATACGGGGTCTCGGTTTTTAGTTGGCATCCGAAGCACTTTCACTTCAAACGTTCGATTTTTTTGGAAAGGAACATTTGCTACCTATGTTTTAGGTCAGATTCCGCCGTTATTTGAACACACGATCTTCCAGTCATGGGTATTGAGGGTACAAAATGATTTACTCTTAGGCTATTAAAACATAAAAAGAACATTAAAAAAATTAAGCTTTTGTTATGCAACTGTATGCATTGTGTAGTATATGTTTTTTTTTAATTAAATTTGTATTGACATCTTTTCACAAGAAATTCGGGTTTTCTCTGCAAGTTTGCCAGCAGGAATTCTTCTCCTTGCCACCTTTTTGGGAAATAAATAGATGTCATTTTAATGATTTATTGAAATCGGTGTCTCGACACAATACATGTATACCTAAAGAAAACATTATTTTATCTTATGCAGTATCAATACACAGAACTTCTTTTCACAACCTTCTGATAACTCCTTTATAAAGTATGGGTGGCTTTCTGTTAATGCAATCAAAATCCACGATCCGTACTGGTCCCTAATTCTTTCGTTTTTCTCATTAATAACATTTTAAAATACTATTAAATTTACAGAAAATCTCATTTATATATATTTATCCATGAGAAATATTTTTTATCTAAAAGATCGCCTGAACTTGTTATATAGAAATTCATGATCTAACTATGGATTCGTCTTAAAATTTGTCTCCTAGAAAGATCGAGTTGTTTGTTACTGCTTTTTGAAAATATGCTTTATAGGACGCCATTAAGAAATGTGAATTTTCTTTATTATCGTAGAGGGAAGAACAATAAAAGTGAACGCAAATAACGATTTCTACAGTTCAATTATACTCCATAAAAAGACTGAAATTTAAGTTTGATATAATGATGTCACTATGTATTATTCCCTTCAAATCAATGTAGAAAGTCCCCGCCAAGATACGAGTGTTTAATTTTTATGGTTTTTTTAAAGATTGAATAAGCTGTAAGATAATTCAATCTTACAGTACGTTCTTAGAATACAATGAATTATAAAGTGAAAAGAGAAGTGCATGAGTCATATGAATGCAAATAAATATGGAAAACAAAAGCATTCATCCGTATCCTTGTACATATAGATGCACTTTCGAAATTAAATGCCTGCCCTGATAGAATTTCCAGAAAGTGAAGTGTCTCATTTATAATTTACTGATTAAAAAAACAAAACCAATAGGTAACTGTAAGCTGTATGGGAGATTTGTTGAATATACTTTCGGTTCTGGAATGTGTTTAAAAACGTTTTGCTTCCATTGAATATAATTAACAAGTACGAAGGCTTACAAAATATTGTTGGCTCACATTACGAATGAAATCCATCTCGAGTGATTTTATAAAGTCAAAACATTTAATTAATTTTTTATGTTAGTGTGTATTTTATATATCCAAAACCTTATTTTAAAACTTATTCACTTGTACATGTAGGGTATAGTTTGTTTTAAAAAAGCGGAGATTTGGGAGGAGAAAAATATTGTCCTTTCATTTCAAACTCAGTAATCTAAACCTACTATAACGAATTAATAAAAGATTGATGTCATTTGTACATCATTATAAAAAAAATATTTTGAAGCAGTATGTCATTAAAAACTTGATGAAGTTACAAAACACATCAGGACACAAAGCGGATCATCCCCTCGAAAAAAAGCAAAGGCAGCATTCGACATTTATCACGATGCGAATTCAATCACAAAACATGAAGAACAAGCTTATTCCGGCAATTTGTGTCCACCGCTTAGTGAAAAAAGTAAAGGATGCGCAGAAGAAGGGGAGGGGGGGGGGCGGGGGTCTTATCCCTCTGACAGAAATTGTAGAATTATTTCATAAATTCATGTTTACTAAAATCAAAAGAGTTCTTCTTTAAGCCATAGGGGGTTCTCGATATATCATATGTAAAAGAAAGCATTAATGACAGACAAAAAGAAGGACACACCGACGGAGGAACAAACCCAAATTAATATCCTCAACTTTCAATGAAAGAAGGGGACAACAAAAGACCAACTAAACCATATACACACACTAATAAAATATGTCTTTAATCTGTGTATTTTACCATTTGTTTCATAGACAAGATTATGATTTTTAGTAAGTTGATTTCTTTAGATACCGGTATCTTGCCCATTCCTTCCCCGCCTTATGGACACTAATTCTTCCTAGCTTACAAGCTTTGTACAGCTCTCATAGAAACAAATCCACAATCCACAGTATGTGTATTAAAGCCCTTATGATTTTAAATGCATTCGGATGTGTAAATATATACTCATGATAAATTTATAGTTTTTAAAATCGAAATGATTGTCACAGAATTTTTCGTAGCATGTATTTTCTTGTTTTGTTGTTTATTGAAGGAAAATCTAAAACGTAGTAACCGATACCTGGTTAATTTATGATTGATTTTAAAATTAAAGTTTTAATTTGAACAGTTTATTTATTTCATGTCTTCATTATTTGACAAGAAATTTCGAATTCCAGTATGAAAGGTTAATATGTACCTTTATTGAACAATGTTTGGCACAGTTCACAAACTACGACAGTGGTAAGAAAGTATATAACAAAACGTGTATACAGTTAATAGATGCAACACAACAAAACACAAGCTGTCATTTAGTGTCTTTGTACATCAATAAGAAATGTCGGTATACATGGACGTAAAAAGGAATGACAAATCATAAAATTGACTTTAGCCGATGCCTTATAAAGTAACATAAATTTCATTGAAATTCATTTTTCAGTGGCATTCCGTTGGTCTAGATCATAAGTTCTTGGATATAGAAAGCAAACTGCACGAGCCACTTGAATTGTTCCGAATGTGACGTTACATACGTCGTATGTACCTTACATCGCAGTTTAATAGCAAAGTTGAAATAGTGGTTGTATTTTTTGTGACGAGAATAAAAAAGTAAAATATAAATTTCAATAACACATAGTTGGTCAAATGATCAGATATTGTTGAGTATGGAAAGCAACTGCACGAGCCATTTTGGCGATATAGGATTTGATCACATAACCGACTTCTTTTCATACATCCATAAAAAAATCTAATTCTTTAAGTATCAATTTTTCCCCAGGATCAATTATAATTTGTTTCGCCCTAGATGTTGGTCATTTCATTCTTTTCATATCTCATGACGGCTCCATCTCAACCGAACAACGGTCTGTGGTCTCCTCATTTAATGGTGTGTTTTCAATGTCTGTATCATGATTTTCATAAACATCGGTTTCTGCAAAAATAAGTACACGCAGGGGGAATAAGGAAGCATACAAAATATTCTACGTTGACTAAATCGGTGCTACATTATGACGTCATAGTAGGCGAGATGACGTCAATTTTAGAATTCAATTTTTTTGTAATATTGGTATTTAGAGATGTAATGTAACTCTAGAAAATGAATAGATACGTGTAAACATTAACAAAAATAAAATGTTCTTATTTCGTTATGATGTATTCTGTCATTTTGATTAAAATCTACCACCGATGACGTCATATGTGTACATCATGTAACTTGGTAATTGATCGGGAATTGATCATGTCGTGTAAAGAGAATTTGGCTATGACGGCATGAACAAAGATACGTAAAATGGAGTTTGAAATCAAATATCGTGAATATTTTGTGAAATTTATATGGAGTTCAGTTAATAAAATAGGTATGCTAATCTATATTTATCGATTATATTCTCTATCGAAGACAGTCAGCTATATACGTATCCCGGTCAGCCTTTCCTCTGTCAATTGTGACAAAAATAATGCAACAGAACAACAATAAGCTGTATATTTCAAAACATAAAATTTGTACAGATGGAAAGTTTGCATCCTAAAATACTTGGAAAGTGCTGCTAGAATCCCGAGTTAAGCATGGTTTTACGAAAAATCTCGGTTCAAAGGTAAAAAATTCAAAACATCGGGTAAGGTTTCGTGCGAATGTGTGGAATAATTATTTTACTGACGGGACAGTAGGATTCTAGCAGCACTTTTTAGACAAATTAGATGTTTTTCAACTACAATATTTACTCAAAGAAGTTATTAAACTCCGGAGTATTGTTGTTCTGTTCGCTTTTTTATTAAGGAAAATTTCGCTATTAATAGAAGTCACGTGATGCCGTGGTGGTGCTGCACGTTGTTGCGTTAGACACTTTTATTTTTATGCAATAGATAACTAGTGCTAATTGTAACGGGGACCGTTACAGATGTTCCCCAAACGCTCCCCATCTCCCTTTTGGTGCCATATCCCCTCTAAGCTTCACTAAATAAGACAAATTTTATGCATTTGAGACTTTAACAACGTTTACCCAGAAGGGTACCAAGTTCATTCAAATTTAGCACTGCACGCGTGCGCATGTGATGCATCATCTTGTCTGCACAATCTATATAATTTAATATACTAAATATTAAAGTATTTAATCCAAAAGTATTAAAGAATACGCACATTCAAGTGTATTTTTGATTTTACTCATTTCACGTGCACGCACGTGCATACATGAGCATGGTGACATACCTTCTTGTAGAAGTCCATTACATCTATCTATGTTCTAAATCCCACTCCGTTTGGTTGTAAACCAAGGGAGTTATAGCTGATTAAAGTTTCATCCAATCAGATTGCAGCGTACGTTCACGCACGTGTATTGATGTACATGGTGATCATACCTTCTTGTAGAAGTCTATTATATCTATCTATGTTCCAAATCTCATCCTGTTTAATTGAAAACTAAGGGAGTTATAGTTATTTAAAGTTTCGGCCAATCAGATTGCAGCGCACGTACACGCACGTGTATGGATGTGCATGGTGTCCATACTTTCTTGTAGAAGTCTATTATATCTATCTATGTTCCAAATCACATCCTGTTTGGTTGAAAACGAAGGGAGATATAGCTATTTAAAGTTTCAGCCAATCAGATTGCAGCGCACGTGCATGCACGTGTTTTCATGATTATTGTTATATATCATTTTGTAGGATATCCTAATGCATGGCTATGTTCAAAATTTCAAAGGATTTCGCAAAGACCCTAAAAACAACGAGTGACAAAATTTTCCCAGGTCTTGCAAAGCAACCTTCCTAGCGATAAGCAAAAGATTAAATGTTTCTGTCTAGATTGTCAACTTTGCTAACATTCTCTTTTTCGATTTGTCTCAGAAACCCTTACTTGAATTCTTTAATTTGGTGTGAGCATGAGGTCTAAAGGGTACTCTCTCTAACAGCATTCTTGAAATCGTATCCACAACAGTTTAACTTCCAATATTATGACTTTTGATATCGGATATATCATGTTTGTGAAACGTGTCATACTACAGAAACATAAGTGTTTTGCTACATTACCATCTTAAAAATGGCTTTAAAATCATTTAATATACAATATAACTAGGTAAATAAAATAAACAAATTATATAATAATTCAAAAAATCCAAATGTATTTACAATAATGATGAACAATCTTCATTAGTTGCAATCAGTAAGTAGAACAATACTTTTATAATAAACGCACAGAAATGTGTTGTGTATGTTTCGAATTTGCAGCTTTCCACTAGCAACTGGTGGTACCTCAATAGGAGTGTAAAATTCTCTGAAAGGTATATTGTAAACATATTACATATGGCTGTGTATTCTTTTTTAGCGGCTTTGGCGGAATGCAGCAATCACTAAATCAAGTACAAAGCTAAAAGTCTTGTACATAAACATAAATAAGAATATCTACGCTAACTTATTCAAAAGTCAATTTCCACCAAATATTGTACAAGCTAAATATTATACATTTACAGCATTAAAGAAACAAATCTCTTTGAAGGTATTGCCCTGCATAAGAACAATTTGAATCCCCTACACTAAGGATGCTCTGTGCCAAGTTTCACTTTGGTTCTGGAAAATGATATTGTGAAATTTTAGACAATGATGATAATGGATAAAATTATGTTTTTAAAAAATTTACTGGTTCCTTTAGCTCAGATGGGCTAATAAATATGCAACAGGCACAGTTTTGCAGTTGACATTGAAATGCGACTGGACATCTCTTCAATCTTGTTTTATAAGCAGGACAGGGGTCCGGTGGGGAAGGATTTCCTGTTTATTTTGGAAAACTACATGTACATGCCCTATGTACTGAATTCCTTGGAATCATACACATGTTTATGCCTTTAATTAGTTGTATGTGCCAAAATAACAATTTTTTTTACATTATACTGTAAAAAATACACATACATGTATTACAAGATCTTCTATTCCTGCTGAAGACAGAGGATCTATCTTAATCATTAGAATAAGTAAGTCTAAACTTTGAAAGGGAAGACCTTAATAAAGAGGTCAACATGCTACACAAACAAAATATTATTATATTTAAAAATAACATTTATTCCAATGTAATTACTGGTACATGTATTTCTGTTACAAAAACTATTTCACTTGAAAAACTGAGAGCAATTGATATGTTCATATTTGTGGATTTATGTTGTCAAATCAAAATTTAAAAATGATACACAGTGTGTTTAAAAATTGTCTTCACAAACCAAAACTTGACTTATTTTCACTATGCTGTTTATTCCATGTCACATCCAAACAGATGATCTTCTGGCAAATCATGGTCATGCTTGGTATCAAAATTCAGTCTTCAGATGAGTCACACCTATCCAAAAGAAATTGAAATTTTTTAATCTATAATTCTTTTACTAATAAAAAGTGCAATTCATGAGATTATAAATTAGATTATCAAATTGAGAGATAAGATATTGTCACATTTTCTGTGTATAATTTGTAAATTTTAATGTACTCTTTCATCAATTAAAAGAAGTTTACACCAATTAAGGCAGTCATTTATGCTATTCCCTAATAAGACAACATACAAGTGCAAAGTAATCATGCACTAGTGGGTTTAGGATAATGTGCTAGAGTATTTATGACAACATACTAGCACGAGGTGACAATGTGCTAGCATGTACGTCAGTGATAATATGCCAGCACACTGAATCCAACATGCAGTGAAGCTAACACTCAACAGATTGTTTAAAGTTGTGTTTGCATGATATTTTGTTTTGTGTTAACACAGCAGCGTGTTGTTTAAAGCTGCATTGGAGTGGCAGTCTGTTGAAATTAACATGCTAACACACTGCAACTTCACATCATTGGAACACCATAATTTTAAAACTGACAAACCAATATCTTATGATTACTAACTAGGTAATTGCAACTGTAAATGCTGATTTCATGGTGACAATAATACCGGTAATTCACTGTATATCTGAGAACTGATCAATTATAATAAGGCGTGTCCAGATAGGGCCACTTGCTAAAGCTCAATAGCACTTTCATAAAAGCGTGCCATCTTACCGACACAAAAGACGCCATTAGGCTATCACACAGCTCGCCATCACAACACTGAAAAACACTTTCGCACTAACACAAGTTCGCACCACACGCTGTCACACTAACACACAACACACTGTCACGCTAATACAATTTCACACAACAAAATATCAGGCTAACACGAGTTCACACAACACACTATCATGCTAACACGAATTCACAAACACGCTGTCTCGCTAACACAAGTTCACACAACACGCTGTCTCGCTAACACAAGTTTTACACAACACGCAGTCTCGCTAATACGAGTTCATACAACACACTGTCTAGCTAACACAAGTACACGCAACACACTGTCACGCTTAGATGAATTCACACAACACACTGTCACGCTAACATGAGTTTACACAACACGCAGTCTCACTAACACGCGTTTACACAATACACTGTCATGCTAACACGAGTTTACACAATACACTGTCACGCTAACACAAAGTCACAAAACAGGCTGTCTCACTATTCACTAACACAAGTTCGCACCAAATGCTGTTGCGATAACACACTGTCATCCTAATACCATTTCACACAACACACTGTCATTCTAATACCATTTCACACAACACACTGTCAGGCTAACACGAGTTCACACAACACACTGTCACGCTAACACGAATTCTCAAAACAGGCTGTCTCACTATTCACTAACACAAGTTCGCACCAAACGCTGTTGCGATAACACACTGTCATCCTAATACCATTTCACACAACACACTGTCATCCTAATACCATTTCACACAACACACTGTCAGGCTAACACGAGTTCACACAACACACTGTCACGCTAACACAAATTCAAAAAACATGCAATATCGCTAACACGAGTTCACATAACACGCAGTCTGGCTAACACGAGTTCACACAATATGCAATCTTGCTAACACGAGTTCACACAACACACTATCTCTCTAACACCAGTTCACACGACAAATTTTCAGGATAACAAGTTCACACAACACACTGTCACGCTAACACGAATTCACACAACATGCTGTCTCGTTAATAAGAATACACACAACACGCTGTCTCGCTAACATGAGTTTACACAACACGCAGTCTCGCTAACACGAGTTTACACAACACGCAGTCTCACTAACACCAGTTTACACAACACGAAGTCTCGCTAATACGAGTTCAATCAACACTCTGTCTAGCTAACACGAGTTTACACAACACACTGTCACACTTACACTTTATACACGATTTTACACAACACGCTGTCCCGCTAACACGAGTTTACGCAACACATTGTCAAGCTAACAAGAATTCACACAACCCACTGTCAGGCTAACACAATTAAGTTCACAAAACACACTGCCTTGCTAACACAAATTCATACAACACACTGTCTCGCTAACACAAGTTCACACAACACACTCACATTGCTGAGTTTAAAGTAAAGGTCTACCCTAATTTGAAGAGGTTTAAAACTAACATATCTCTATATTAGTAAAAAGCTTCAAATTTAAGACAAAAACATTTATGCAGTAATGTTCCTTAACATGCATCTGGCATATAAAATGAATGAGACCTTAAAAACCTCACAGTACATGTTTACTTAGCTAATTAAAGGTCTAAATTGATGCTATTCAACAATATATATCAACATCTCTAAGTATGTGAATGAGTGAAATTCTCAAATAAATATTATAAATCAAAGTATCAATAAGAAGCTGAACCTTACGTTGCAGGTTCCAATCCCATTGCTAAATGCTTTAGACAGGTTACTCCTATGAGACTGCATAAACCAAGATTCTGTGTCACGGTAGGTGTTAGCACAAAATGGATCTCATACTTCTTAAAGGCAATAAGTGCTGAGTACAAGTCTATATTTGCAGCTAATACCATCCCAAGTGGTGGCACCATGAAATGACTGAAAAATGTATGATTAAGGCAAATAAACAAACATTAAACCATTACAGCAGTCTTATCAAACAAAAATGCAAACTTTCTATTATTTCAATTTTTTTAAACAAATTTCTTTTGCAATTTAACTGAGCAATATTTGTCCTTTTTTGTCAGTAAAGTATGATATTAAATAATTAAGACTTTTTGAGAACATCTATTTATAGCGAGTCCAGACAGCAGCACAAATCCCTGCCCATAATGCGAGCTCTTATGATAACACCTTGGCAAAAGAAGATTGTGACTTGCACATTGCTCCACACAATTTTTCCGCAGTATACTTTGGACACACAGTGCTTAGCTTCTTTAACATGTTTAAGCTACATTCAAAATTCATTTCTATTTAATTTGAATTAGCTATCCTTACTCATGTTCACATGGAGCTAATGGGAAGTAATTTAACGAGCAGTGAATTCATTCGAATTAAACATTTGAATAAACTCTCAGTGTGAACATTGAGCATGGATGCACCAAATGTCAAATGCGGCTTGACAAGCACAATCTAAATTAAAACTAAATAAGTATCTGCCCTCACCCTTACAGTCACACTGTCAATATATAATTAGTTGAATATATTCTGTAACATTAAGTGCAGTTTGAATTATAGAGTATGATCACTATGATAGATAGTAGGACTGTTGAAATTACATCCTCAAATTTAAAAAAAATAAAATATAAAGCTGTGGGGATTTACAAGGCAAACAGAGAGCGTCTGAACTGTAAAACAGATAATATATCGGTGTGTCTGTGTATTTCTAATAACATCAATGTACGTCACTGTCATGTAATCAGTAGTGTAAATTTTAAGTAATAAAAATATTCTAACCTTCATTCCAATGGTCCAAGCCAATCATACATTAAAATGTCGCCGTCAGCTCTTTCATCACTCGATACAATTATCACTGGGGAATCCGAAGCAGAGTCAAGAGTGTTCATCCTTGTTAATGTGACAGTCAGAATTTCCTCGTAAACAATTCACACAAGATTCTTAGGGTGCGTTCACAGTTCTACCATTAGTACCAACTTTCAATATACCATTGGTACAATAATTTGACAATGGTACCAACTGTACCAATAAACCCTTTTCAGTATTGGCATACAAATGTAACAATTTTACCGAAAATGTTACCAATGGGAGTCCAATGGAGACATTGGAGAATATGTTGAATTACAGATTTCTTTTCTTACTAATTAGCACATGCCAGTGCAAGAAAACTGTGTAAAGGTTTTTGACTAGTAAATAATCCGACAAACAAACCACATTAGATCATACACTTCTTTAGTTGCCATATCTATGAGTTTTATATAATCCATTTAATGGATCAATGTCGTAAAAAATCATATTTTAAACTTCAAAATCATGAATATAAGTGTTTGATATGATTTTTATGTGATTTTGGCATGATTTGTTAAAAAGGATTAGAGAAAAAATCGTTTATATCATTGTAAAATTTCAGTCTTTCTATGCTTGTTGCCATTTTCGATAAATAACGTCATTTACCAACACTAACCACACTCTAGACTGTTCAGAAAAATATACCATTGGCAAAAAAATTCGTACCAGTGGCATGCCAATGGTAATTAAATACCAACGGCAAATCTACCAACGGCAGAACTGTGCACCCTTAGAATATATGAAGGATAATTCTGCTTAGAATAATGTTCCAGAGAAGTTACAAAGTACTTCGTAGCTCCATATTAAATGAATGTGCATGTCTACAAACGGATTCTTTGTGAGAAAATGTTCAACTTCACAAATATTCTATTTTCAGTTTGTAAACCATGACAAACGTGTGTCCGACGTCGACTCGAAGGGGCACACTAAAAACGGGATATACTAGAGACCTGATATTTACCTGACGTTTTAATTTTTAATTAAATGGTAATATTGAGTATTTTAAATTACTTATGTACAGACTTTATGACTTCGAGGCATATGCTATACAAAAATTCAATTGTTTGGAACATTTACAGACAAATTTGAATCAGGTCAAATAAGTGTTTAGTACATCGCGTCTTTAGTACCTTCCTATTTCCCACAATGCCGCGCGTTGTTTACAAACAAGCGCGAAAAAATCCTCTAAACTAGGTACTATTTATTGTTGTGTACATCATCACATTTTAAAATTATTTGAATAAAAAGAAAACAAAGAAACACCGAATCAAAACTATATCTTTTAGATGCATCAACTAAAAATGTGCACATGTATGCAGTAAAGGCTTGGCTGGCTATAGTAGACAACTTGTTCCTGAAAGGTTTCTCACATACATGTACTTGTTTTATATAAAAAACAATTAAATATAGCTGGAAGTTTATTTCTTTTTATATCAAATGACAAGATTTTATAAGTTCGAAATTATTTCAGTCAAACTTTTTCATAATATACCAATATTTTTAGCTATCAGAAAAAACGTGTATGAGCTATTAACCCCTAATTATAGGGGCCAGCCCCTTTTCATTAATCTAATATGAAAGCTCTCGTAATTACACACAACTTTTGTTATATATTTCTTACCAAATTATTCTCGGTTCAAAAGTTATTACACAAAAAGTAGCAAAAATTCAAGAAAAAAAATTACTAAAATTTGCCGTTTTATAGCTTCCAAACTTTAGGAAATCAGCTTATAATTTTATCGTTCTGCACATCTACAATGTATTGGCTACAAGTTCTCCAACTTTCGTGTAAATATCTTACGTCGTTCTTGAGATTTTTAGTGGAAACGAGACATCAAAATTATCAATTAAAGGGCAATAACTCACAATTAAAGGCATGCATCAAAAAATTGAAAACAGGTGTAAATAGGTTTAATTACAAGGTATCTAACCTGAAAGTTTCATAAAAATCAGTCCAAAGGTCTTTGAGAAATCGCCTGTCAAAAATCGAGCGGGCAAAAAAAAAAATAAAATAATAATAAGAAACAGTAGAATAACAGTAGGGTCTTCAATACGAAGGAAGCGGAAAACGAGAATCCATCGAGCCGTTTTCGAGAAATCGCGTGCACAAAATCGGTAAGAAAAAAAAACAATAATAATAATAAAAGTGAAAAAGAAAGCTAAGAATAACAAGAAGGTCTTCCGCTGAAGACGGAAGAACTTAATAATAATAATAATAAGAAACAGAGTAAAAACAATATGTTCCCCAACTTCGTTTGGGGAACATAATAATAGTTTACGCTTATCAGCGGTTTTGGTAAATTATCAAACTAAATTTTCTTTAAAAAGTCTGAATTTCCCGAAAAAATGACTTATATGCTTCCTTAACATACCCGCGCAGCTTTGGTTTTATACAAATACATCAGCAATTAGGTCTTAACAGTAATAAATAATGGTTTAGAGAGGCTGTGTTTAGTTTTTTAAATCTTACGTTTTTGTTGTTTCTGAAAGTTGCAAAACCGTGATATGGTATCTGTAATTAAAATAGATTTAATTTGATATATGTATAAAGAAAACGTACTTCTTAGTATGTGTCAAGCATTGAGGTTTTTCAAATGAAATGGAATTAAAAGAATTACAATAGCACATACCTAGTATGGAGGAACATGAATTCCTAGAACGATGTACATGAACATGAAGAATACATATAAGAACTCCAATTATCAGGCTTGCAATTCCAAAGCAGATTGGGACGCTGGAAAAAGAGAGAATATAAAAATTTATATTCCATTGATATTTTTTGATTGATTTTATATTGTTTAATGTCCCTCTCAAAAATTTTTCACTCATATAGAGACTTTAGCGGATGCTGGTGAAGGGCTTAAAATTTTGACTTTTCCTCGGCATTAAGGGCCATTGAACAGCGAAGGATCTTTTTCGTGCCAACGCCTGCCGCTGTTTTTAAGGTCTCATCCGTAGGACCCTCAACTTTTATTTCAAAGTGCCGAGCATGGCGAAGGAACAGTTGCTACCAAATTTTATCGTCTTAGGTTGGTCGCGGCCAAGATTCGAACTCATGACCTCCCGATCACGGAACGAGTGCTCCACTGACTGAACTACCATGAACGGTCCATCGATATTTTTAATAAAAAAT